CATGCCCTAATTTCTTGTTTCCAGATGGATTTTTTTCCCTTTCCCCCTGATAGAAGCATGCCTAGTCACCGTAAAGTGTACCATGCAAAGAGGACTGTATTTTACAAAGATGTATAGAAAACAAATAATCTGTGTGACTCCATATAACAAACCAAGGAAATGCTGCAGCTGCTAGGTCATGACAAGTGGAAAATCTTCTCTAGTTACTAGCAATGTGCATCATCCAGGGTTGTTATTCAGACTCACTACAGTTCACCATATGGTTTCACAAATGGCTGCACCCGCATGAGGAGGGAGTAGGTACAAGGGGAGAAGTGGGATCACTTCTTTCCAGCGATTTAAAACATTAATTAGAATTATAGGCCAGGATAAATAACAGAATTTCCCTGCCTTCTTTTCAACATTTCCATACATTTTCACTTTTTGGCTCTGACATTGCAAGCAGCAGTTGCTTTGGGCCAGATGAAAGGCTGACCCTGCACTGCATCTGCTACCACAGTGGCCAATAGCTAGAGCTATATGGACAGAGCATAAGAAACAGCGCAAATTTAAATGACCCCTACTCCATCAGCTGCCAGTAACCAGCAACTTAGTCATCTTTATGCAGAATCCTCTAAAATAGTGAAAGAACTGTAGTAGAATAGTAGTAGTATTGCTCCTATAGTTAACTCCTACTTGGAAGAGAGTTTTAAGTTTAAAAAACCACCACAAACTTGTATAAATATATATAAAATACAGATCTGATCAAAGAAAGGCACCATCAGGTCACATAGCTGTAGTTAATTATTGCAATTCACAAATACATGCACAAGCTCTCATATGCACAAAACCAGATGTATTTCACCAGTCTGTAGTTAAGTACTAAAAAAATAATCCCAACACAACAAACAAATCAACAAAAACAAACAAACTGGACTAAGGGGAAAGTAGCCTTGGTGAAAGAATCCCAAAGCAGTGGAGATTATATGCTCCAGAAGCCCACAAGCTGAAGGTATTTGACTGTTCTCCCAGAGGGACTCACCACCCACACCACCTAGGTCAAACTGACAGCAGAGCTATTAGAGAAACTTCTCTCACACACAGTTATTAAACAGTGATCAGTCTAGCTGCTTATCCAGAAAGATTCGACGAGCTATCGTGTAAATAAAAACCCCATTGTTCCCAGCTTTAAAAAAAAAAACAACAAAAAAACTCTGAAAAGCATCTCTAATGATGGTGACCACACAGGCTTTATGGGGAGCTAACCACAGAGGACAGACCATACATCTTTGCCCTGGGAAAAGCTATGGAGCATTTCTTCCTGGACCCATTGATCAACTGGAACAGCAACTCTGGGAGACAAGCAGCTGCAGAGGGGAAAAGGAGAAGAACATCTCAAAAGTTTTCAAACCATAAGTACTCAGAAGATCCTGTACTAGAACTATCTGCTTGATACTTACTGCAATTCAGGAGCTCTAGACCCTCTCCCATACACAGAAAGGCCTCCAGCATCACCAGGACAAAACCTTTGAACTATCCAAGTTAATGGTAACCCTACCCTTGCTTTCCTCTGCCTTCCAAGAATTCATGTTCTCGGGTTTCTGTCAGTGTTCACCCTAAAGCCTCCCCCAAAAGAATGAATTTCATTTCACACATCTGTATGCTGGCAACCAAATAGGAGCAGGCACATGCAGTCGACAGAACCTGGTAGTTGTTTTTCTGGAATATAAGTGAAAAAGGCAACAGGGACACCCCACAAACCTCCCCTTAGCCAACTGTCCCTTTTTTTTTCTTTTTTTTTTCCTTTTTTTTTTTTTTCTTTTTTTTTTTTCCTTTTTTTTTTTTTTCTTTTTTTTTTTTCCTTTTTTTTTTTTTTCTTTTTTTTTTTTCCTTTTTTTTTTTTTTCTTTTTTTTTTTTCCTTTTTTTTTTTTTTCTTTTTTTTTTTTCCTTTTTTTTTTTTTTCTTTTTTTTTTTTCCTTTTTTTTTTTTTTCTTTTTTTTTTTTCCTTTTTTTTTTTTTTCTTTTTTTTTTTTCCTTTTTTTTTTTTTTCTTTTTTTTTTTTCCTTTTTTTTTTTTTTCTTTTTTTTTTTTCCTTTTTTTTTTTTTTCTTTTTTTTTTTTCCTTTTTTTTTTTCTTTTTTAAAGTACAAATAGTGCTTTAATGTTTTCCTTGAAACAAACTATTCTGATAAATGTTTATGGAGTTAAGGAGTGATTCCTCACTACTGAGTAGCTGGATGTTTAGACAGTTTTATATAGGAAACATTACACAGCCTCTGCTGCAGCAGTTCGTAGGAAAGTTTGATGCAAGATCAGTTTCCTGTTCAGTCATGTCACGTTGTAATTTATAGTAGTAGAAAATGGGGTAGCAGCTCTAAGGGAAGCATCATGCTGAAATAGAGAGCATGTCACTGCAATTAACACTGCTCACAGAGCATCAGTTTGCAAGTTTTGGGGGTTTGTTTGTTTGTTTTGGGGTTTGTTTTGTTGTATTTTATTTTTTTTTAAACAAGACAACTGAAGGAATAAGAGGGCAGATCTCAAGTGCTACCTTCCACTTACTTGTAGCTGAGTGATTGATGATACCTCTCAGATCTCAATCCAGACCAGGAGCCCACTGTAGGAAGTGCTCCACAATCAACATAGTCCTTTACAACAGTCACCTTTTCCTGAAAAAATCATCCACAGGTTCTGCAGCCTGACTCCCAAGCTCTGCAGGAGAGACCTTCTTTTCTCCTCTGCTGCAGATGTTCCACATCTTCATCCAAGCTCTTGTCAGCATCTGATTCAACCGAGTATCACACTGCCTAGTATTGCTAGCAAACATGAACATTTTATTAAAACATATCCCCCCCAACCATCACCCCATGGTAACAGGAAAAAACATTTGCCCATCTTTGTCTTTATCTGCAGTTTTATCAGTTTTAGCTTGGACAGATCCATGGAAACGAGTAAGAGTAACAGCAGCCATTTAGTGCTGATTGTAGTGCCAGGTAATTCTCACTAACCATCCAAAGAGGAAACAAAACAGGCATTTCATTTTGAAGTAGCATTTTATTTTCCACTAGCTTTGTATACGGAGCTTCAGCCTAGTTAGCACAAACTGCACACTGCAGGCAGCTGTAGGGACAGGAACACTTGCATGCTATACCTTTGCAATGCCACTGGCTCTAGAAAGCACCACTTTACATACTTTTCAAAACGCCACACTAATGAAGTAGTATTTGCACACAAACATTGCATTATAATGGCAACATGTGTAAACCTTTTTAGCATTACTCAAATACAGCATCTACCTTGAAATGTTAGGCCATATCCCTGCCAGGTCACTGGTGTTATGGGAGAGCTCTCTGAATGGGGACTTGCTGTGTTTCTAAGATAAAGCCTTCTATGAAATCCCCCCCGTGCCTTCTACAAAACTGCAGCTTGGCCTTGGAGTCAAGTGCTGGTTCTGTTCTTACCACCATAGTCCAGATATCCACAAGCAAGTTGCAACAAAGGAAAAATTTGCCCAAACCACAGTTTATCTTTCAGTCTCACACAACATGCTCTTGGTGTTCTCTGACAATTCCAAATGGTCAAAACTTTCCAAAGTGACCACTGGTTATGGTCACCTGCTTTCACACCAGGGTTCAGACTTTCTGTAGGACACAGTGAAGGTCATTCCTCTTGAAACTGAGATGGGTAGCAGCGAGCTCACTGCTGTTGAAACCGGACAGCAGGAGCCAGGTTTTTAGAGTACTAAGAAATCCACATTCCAATTTTTAATTAAAAAGTTTAAATTTAAAACCTTTTTTAAATTGCTGGGTCCTCCATTAGAGAATACTCCATATGTCAAAACCTCAGCTTTTTGGGCTGTGGCTGCATCAACACTAGGCTTGATTAGTCACCATGCTGAAAGCCCTTCATTGCTTGCTGTTTCATGGGGTTTTTTTCTCAAGTACCTTCCAGGAAGATCTGCTTGCAAATCAGAGGTTAAATGTGGTCTAGACAAGGTCAGACAATCAATGCATACCGTACTCTTGTAGGGGTCTAGGATGTTTTCAGGCTTTTTTCCTGTAAATTAATTTCTATTTTAAATAGCTTGCTTGAAGCTGTATGTATGCATATTTAAACTTCCCTTAAAAGTTCGCCCTCTTAAAACAGAGTTTTGGATTTAATTTCTCTCAGTGGCAGAGCAGTTAAAGAGGGGTGAGCACACCCATTTGATGTTATCAGAAGAAATGAGAACAATGAATGCAGCCACACTACTCTTCTGTTAATCCACCCTCAGTGTCTGTCTGCTCAATAGCAGCAGAGAGTGCAATGTATCTCCTTGCAGCATTCACTCCACTATGGAAGTAATAAGGGGGTTTGTGCTTTTTGTACCCTCAGATCCTGACAATCCACAGCCAGAATACTCATGCACACTGGTATCTGGTCTGGGTTTCCCATCATAGCCAGGTTTCTGGCATAGTTTTAATAAACCATCAAACTACCTATTTTGAAACAAGGATAAGGAAGAGGAGGAAAGAATGTAAGTATGAATAATTTCATGAACTTAAAAAACCAAGAAAACAAGTCACAATTTTGTACAACCAAACCTATGAATGATCTGCCTCAAGATGCAGAGAAACTGGTCAAAGCATAAATCCTCGTTGAATGTCAAACCTCCCCAGCGAGGCAGGTGTAGTCTCTCTGTAGGAGTCTCTCTGTAGGGGCTTAAGGAGGGTCTCACTACGTTGCTTACATTTTTTTTCATGCACAAGAAGTCTCTGAGATGTATTTACTCCATTCATACGGAAAAAAAAAAATGTACTTAAAAAGAAAAAAAAAAGAGCAAGGCGGCAGCACAGAAAGTTTTCTTCATTACAAAGTGTTTTTCCATCAGGCAATTATTTATAAGAACTTTTGTTAACACTGGAGTTTAGGCTCTGGAACAAAGTGGATATATTGTTTACCAGCTTTGCCAGTCAATCTTCTCTTACAAAACCTCTCCCTTCCCCCTCTCCTTATTCAGTCGAGTCAGTCCCTTGAAGAGCTCAGAAGTTTCCTTTGTCACCCAGATCTCCTTTTCCACAAATTGTCCCTTGAATGATGCCATCTTCAATGTAGTGCCCTGAGGTGTCTGTGCTCCTGCAAAGAACTGTGGAGGGAATCCGTGACGAGCGCCTTTCCTGACCCTTATCCTCAGAGGAGCAGCAAATCATCCTTTTCATGGTACCCCACATCTCATCATCTTTGTATGAATAAATTATTGGATTCATGACAGAGTTCAACAGGGCCAGGAGAAGGAACCACCTTTTAACATTCTGAATTCCACAATCGGTGCAGTTCAGACCATCAAGTAGTAAGACAACCAGACCAGGAGTCCAGCAGACAACAAAGGCACCTAAAATAAAGAAGACCAAAAAAAGACTTCAAACCGCTAGGAGTTTGGGGTTTTTCATACAAGATCATTGGGTTCATCAAAATTCTACACAAAAATGGTAAAAGGAGAAGAGGACAAAATTCTAATGACAGTAGCAAAATGATATCTACTAGAGCTTATCTACCAAGCCCTGATCACAAGGCAGGCAGCTCTCAGAAGGCTGCAGGGACCAAGAACCCAGCTGCTCCAGCCTCAGCTCAAGCACAGGCAGGGTAGGGTCATCACAACGGTGACTTATCCACACTGATAAATAAACTAGAGCTCTGGAGCATTAACAAGTATAGAACTGGCACTCTGAACACAGCCTGCCTTCCCTTCTTCTCTGATACGCTGAAGGAGGAGATCCCATGTGGTCTGCTTCCACCACTGCCACAATGAGCTCCAGAGAGACATGCCTTCTGCCACACCACAGCTGACTCTGCAGAGCTATGGGCACACTGCCAAATCATAAACCAAAAGTCACCTAATTTAAATATGTCCTAGCTGGAAATCCCACAGCTCATGTAGGATGCACACGGTTGCCTGCAACACAGAAGCACTGCTCTCAGAGGAGCAGCCCACCTCTCTCCACTGCTCTCTCCTGGGCTGTGCATGCTTGATGCTTGAGACCCAACTACCTGGATCCAGGAAACAAGTTTAGTTGCAAATGAAAAGAGAGAACAAAACAAATATCTGTTAGTGAAGATGAACCAAAGAATGTAGCAGTCAGGTCAAATAAATGAAACAAAGAACAGAATAAAAGGAAAAAAAGGAAAAAAAAATTCCAAAAAGGATGAGGAAGTAAGAGTGTAGTGATGGGGGAACAAGAAAATGCTGCAAGAGAGGCATTTCCCCAAAACATAGCAAGAAACCTCAGGACAAGCCCAGGATCAGCAGATGTCTCATGTTCCAGCTGCCAGGCAGGAATGGCAACAGCCCCTGGGAGGAAAAAGTGAGACTGAGACTGCACTTGGTGATAATAAAAGCTGAAAGAGACAAAACAAGATAACATGCTTCTCCCTCACCAGCCCCCGAAGAAAAGAAGAAGAAGGAAATTAAAGAAAGAGGGATAAGGGAGAAGAGATCTGACACAGAGTGAAGACAACATGAAGAAGGGATAAAAACCACAGCTCAGAAGGGAGTTCAGTATTGCATTTGCATCTTTCCCTGTTACTGCACATCCCCGACTCAAAGGCAGGGGGGCAGCAGGGGGCACGTCACGTTGCAGCCCTGGACCACAGGTTCAAGAGGGCCCCGAACTGCCCCCTCTGCCCTCATGCCTCCCCCTGCCCCACAGCCTGTCATCCCTCACCCTCAGCCCGAGGAAGGAGCAGCCATGTGCATGGTAATGCTAACCTAGCACAAGCCACAATTGCCATCTGACATACAGAAATAGAAAATTACAACTCTGCCCAACAGTCACAATTTGAACAACAGACTGAGGAAATTCCAATCATTTATAACAGCAGAGCTTCCCCTTGTCTGGGGCTTAGGGAAAATAATCAAACAAATAAGGATAATAGCAGCTACATGCTAAAAAGCTCTCCTGGGGGTGCTAGTATCTGTTCAACAATTTTGGCATGAAAACAAGACCAGCTTTTTTTTTTTTTTGCTTTTTTTTTTTGCTTTTTTTTAAGCTGGAGCTGTGCAAGCAGCATCAGGGCAGCCTGGCCCACAGCAGCACCCAGGCAGTGCTGGAGCTGGGATCTGGTGGTACCACAGGCATCTGACTGGCTGTGCTGTGCACAGGGGCTGCTCCCAGTGGCACTGGACTCTCCTCCTCATCGAGGATTTTAAATGGACATATCTGGTGGGTAGGCCATAGCAGTATAAAAGGAGAATTCATGTCACTTACGTAGCATCAGGATTGCTGAAAAGGTATTCAGGACAAGGTACCATGGATCCTGCTGCAAATCTATACTCCTGGACTCCAGACAAAATTTACTATGTCCTAGGCAATACTGTACAGAACAGGAAGGCAAGAGACCAGTGCTTTCAGAAACTGTATTTTCTACTCTGCTGGACCAAGATCTTTGTGATGCTAAGTACTAATTTCATGGTGTTAGCTTTGAGATGCTGGTTAACATCAGTAACATACCTCCATTACCCACTGGCTTCAGCTGCAAGCTGCTACCACAACACTTGTTTTCTCTATCCCTACACACTAGTTTGGCTCCAGCATGCTGAGTAAGCAGTTGTGACACCAACTCTCCCTTACAGTTAACAATGGAGAAAACACTGTACTGGTTTATTGCCCTGGGGTTCACCAGCAAATCCCATGTGTTTTAACAAGCACTGGAACCAGACCACCCAGACAACACCACAGTATTTGGACAGAGAGTTCCACTAGCTACCAAGGGTCACTAGCAAAGTCGACAACACACCAGCCCCATGCAGAAATAAGGATGGTAACCAACCCTCCTTAGAACAAGTGCTGAAAGCATTTCGACCACTTGTACCACAGAGCATGCAAGGTCCAACCTTGGGTTCATGGAAGCCAGCAGGAAAGGAAGCAGACCCCAATGCCACACCTAACAAAAGACAGAGAAATTTCTCCTTCAAACAAAACCCTGAGATTGCAGGCTCAATTAGTCTGTGAACTCCTAGGACAGATACATCCCTGTCTATCTATACAGGCAAAACCCTAAAAGGCATCAGTGCCAAAGTAAGAGAAGATGAAAGACATGTACAGACATCTCTCTGCACATTCCCTTGCCCCATGACTGTAGACAAGGACATGGGGGCAATGCAGTGACAATGTAGGAGTCACTGGGTAATGCTTTCATAGGGCTGTTGCTTTGATCCATAAAAAATACACTTTGCTGTGTACGGAGACAACACAGGCGATTCACGCCCTGCTCTTAGCACTGCAGAGATGAAAGTGAGGCACAGCTCAGACTTGCAGCCTCGCTCAGATTTTGCTATTTTTACCACAGAGCTTTCAGAGGGAACCATGGTTAAGCATAAATATATACCTTTGTCCTTGCCCTTTAGTGATTTTCTTGTTTGCAGCCTTTTGATCCCATAGGAGCTCCTCTCCCTGACAAAGTGCCACACTCTAAAAAGAACTTAAATTCTGGGACTCTCTAAAATTCACAGAAGCTACATGAAATACAGCCTGCTGCAACAAGAATCAGAAGAACAGCTCTGAGTCTTCCCACTAGATAATGGAAAATCAGGTGTCACAATGCCTCAGTGTTAGTTTGAGGATTTTCCATTAAACACAAATTTTCCTGTAGACTCTGTCATCTCTGCTTGAAAATGAATTATTGTGTACCTGGAAGCACTACTGATGCTCTGGCAGTATCATGTCATAAAACCCTGCACATCAAAGCTGCCCCCAAGCATGCCAAGGCTGAGGAAAAAACAAATGCAGTAGCTTCCAGATGCCTGTGCCACATGTGCACCCGAGTTAAAACAGCAAGTTACTAATTAAACTATAAATTCACTGAAAGTCATCCTGCCCAAAACTTCCATTTCAGCAG